GGAGAACAGGATGAGATATCCGGCTCCTCCTAAGACCAGTGCTAGCTGAAAAGGTGCCAGCTGTGCCACAGCTGACAGAGACTGCTGTGGTAGGGAAAGCAGGGAGGAAGAGCAGGGTATTGAAGAGTCTGGGCAGTAACTGGTTCCATAGAGTGAGGGGGTGATGGAAAGAGGAGCCCTGGCAAGGACATGAGATCTGTCCCATGGAAGGCACCCTGTTCTGGGACCTGGCTGTGACCTGAGCCTGTGGGCTGTGGTAGAGGCCTTTTCTCTGCTCTGTACTCTTCCTGATCTCCCTGCTGGGCCTATTTCCTGGGTTGTGAAAGCCCATGGCCTCCTTGATTTGGTTCTGTCTGGAAATTCCACCGTAGAGGTTAGCTCCCAGATGTTTCACAGACATACATGCCCTGTTCTTTACGACTGCAGGGTTAGCTTCCTCTGCCTTGCTAGTCATATCACCTCTCAATCCATCCTGTTCATGACCAGACCTATGTCTGTTCTCCTCTCCTTCATTCATCCCTCCCAGACCTATACACCAAGTAGGGTGGCAGCCCCAGGAGGGCATCACTTTGTTGCCATCTGCATCTAGTCTTGGCAGCACATGGCACCTTCTGTGGGCAGCCAGCAAGTGCCAGTCTGAGGTTAGCAGGTGTAGATGGTAGAGGGCTGCATGAAGTAGGACCAGTGCCCTTCACGGTTTGCTCCCAGGTTTCTGTTTAAGTCAGATGACCCACCAGGACCTTCAGCTGATGTTTTCTTGAGCCTGCTCACACTTTGCCATAGCAGTCTGATCAAGGCCCCTCTTCTCCAGCCCCAGCCCCAGCTTTCCCTGATAATCTAATGGACAGAACCCTACGGCCTGTGAGACAACCAGACCAGAGCAGAGGGAGACAGAGTTGAGAGTTCCCATGCAGAACCTTGGCCTTAGTTTTCCCTCTGTACCAAAGGAGGTGAACATGTCTGTCTCTGCTCACTTTTTCACCACACTTGGAGCCACCCAGTAGGAATGCCAACAGTGCCTCCCTGGTCACCTTGAGGGCAGTCTATCTCAATGCCTTGGGCTGGTTGGACAGGTTTCTATTTGCTCTGAAAAAGGTAACCTGCCCTCTGTGGCTTAGCCACTGCCTTCTTTACCTCAAGGCTTCTGGTAGAATTGTAGCAATGATAGGGACCCAGTTTCCTATGTTTTCAGAAATGGAGGAAAGACAATAGTCCAGGGGTCTGAACCACACTTGTGTAAGAGGAGAAGAGTGGCCTTGAGGGCAGGCCTAGGACCAGTCCAGGATTCAGGATTAGTATAGGTGGACAGACTGGCCAAGCAGAGTTCTGCATACTTTCACTTTCCTGTTTTTGTAAGTGTCTGTGCTACTCCTGCTATATTTATGTCTCCATTTCTGTTTTCTTTCCTCTCATCTCTCCTTGACATAGTCTATTAGAAAGGACATGAGCTGCAGCATCCAACAGGCCTACATTCAAGTCTTCCCACCATTTACTTACCACTTACTAGCAGTGTGACCTTGAGTAAGTCACTTACCCTCTTTGAGCCTTGATTTCTTTACCCAGAAAATACTGGAGCTACGTGGGGATAAAGTGAGCAAATATAATTACAAGGCTAATGCAGTATGTTGTCATCTTGGACAGGACAGTCTTTATCAGAAGAGGGTGAGCTGAGATTGACAGCTTGGCTATTTGACTCTTTCCCTTGCTGTCTTCCTCACAGACAGACTGGAGGAGCAGGAACATAGAGGCTCAGAGCCCCCAACAAGAGAGAAAGCCTGCTGCTCCCCCTTGGAGTGCTATGAGGAGAGCCCCTGCTGTCCCCTGGGCCTGCAAAGCCTGGGGCTGAGGCAATGTCCTTCCTTTGGGGCCTGTGGACCTGGGCCTATTTGCATGGGGTTTATAAATAGTGGGCACACCTAACCTTTGTGCTCCTGTCTCACCCCCAGCCTCCCCACTGCTGCTCAGACACAGCAAGGCTGAGGAGCAGACTGACTTCATTGTGCAGATGGTTGCCATTGACCAGAATCTCTCAGGACCACACTGAGATGGAAGCAGATGCTAGCTAGTGTGTGTCTCTGTTTCCCTTCTAGGGTCTGAGTACTTCACATGAGAAGCAAATGGATATTAGCACCAGCAGGGATCTTTGCCTTCATTTTTTGTCCAGGATGGGTCAAGGTGATTTGATTCCTGAATGGTTCTTGGGTAGTCCCATGACCGCCCACAAAGACCACGGCTCCCCAGTGCTGGTAGCACTGTGGCCTGGATGTAGGTTTAGGGCTGGGGCTCAGACCTGCTGTGGTTGTGGTTTCCCTCCAGTGGCTTGTAACAGTAAGCTTCTATGAGTGGAAGCCTGAGTATAGGCTTCAAAGGCAGCCGTGGGTCAGGTCCTGAGCCTTGCATCGCCACCCTCCTGTGGCTGCTCTGATTCCTTGCTCATACAGCTCTGCAAACCCAGGGCAAACTAGGAGCAAGGAAAGCAATGGGCCTGCAGGCAGAGCTAGACACCAGGGGGAGCTGTGGGGAGAGGCTGGCCAGCAAGTATGTGGAGTGCCTAATAGAACAGGATGAGTTACCACGTGTCCTGCAGACATGATTTTCCTATCTCAGAACTGGGGACAGTTTCCCAGCTCTCACTGACTTGTGAGCAGGTAGAAGAGACATAGTGGGGATATGAGAAGACTTGAGAGGGTGTTCTGTAGGGCATGGGGGTGACATTAACAAGAGGATATGTCATAGGCCTGCCAGGCAGGACAGCCTATCGACCAGGGACAAGCCCTCATCTGGACAATGAGGTTGTAAAGACTCAGAGCCTAAATAAGAGGCTTGCAAAGCCATACAGCCAAGACATCATTGTTGTCAAGGACCTGTGTGTGTCTAGCCAGCCTTACCATTTTTGCCACTGGGATGGCTCTAATCTCTTGTCCCTAAGGATCCTAGGCCCCTTCTCATACTTTTTTTTCTCTGCTTGTTCAACTTTACCTTGAGGTACTAACCTAGCTGTTTACTACCCTGCCTTATTGAGACAGAGGCTGAGCTGTGCCTACTGTAATCTGGCCTTTGGTATGTGGCTCATAGCAAGTGTGTGCTAGGAGGGGCCCTGCTTATTACTTTAGGCCCTGAAAGCACTCATTGGGGCACTTGATGCCTTGAACTCTGAGGTCAGAGGATGTCCAAGATGTCTTTTTTCCCTTGGGGATTTGGGACACCCCAAGGACATCCTACATGTGACCAACGCCAGTCCTCTGTACCTTGCTTTTCATGCCTCCATTTACTGACCTCCCATCACATCATGTTCTCACATGGCCTCACAGGCACACTCACTTCCATGACTATGTAAGTCCTTGTGCTGGTTGGTTTTTTGTGAGCTTACCACATCTGAGAACGGAAATCTTGATTGAGAAAATGCCTCCATCAGATTGGCCTATAGGCAAGCCTGTAGGGCATTTTCTTGGTGTATGTGTGTGTGGGGGGGGGGGCTCAGCTCACTGTGGACAGTACCACTCCTGGGCAGGTGGTCCTAGGAGATATAAGAAAGGTAGTAGACATCCTGGAAAACAAGTCTGTAAACAGCTGGGTTTCTGATCAGGTCCCTGCATGTTATGATGGGCTATAAGCTGTGAGATGAAACAAACCCTTTTCGCCCCAAACTGCTTCCGTCATGGTGTTTAGCACAGCAAGGGAGAGCACACTAGGACATTCCTTTTTGTTTGTTTGTTTGGTTTTTGGAGACAGAGTTTCTCTGTAGCTTTGGCGCCTGTCCTGGAGACAGTCTTATTTTTGCAGACCTCCAAATTGTCATGGGCACTGATCTAGCACTTAACGTTTGCCCACCTGCTGGTTTCAGGCCAGAGACTCAGGGATGTGGGCTCCAGGCTGAAATTGCACACCTGCTCTCACTTTTACTGAGTAGAAGCCAGACCTGGGCAGGATTTGGTGGGATCGGCCTCTCTAGTCTGTCTAGTCTGCTCTGGCGTGGGCCCTGAGCTGGCTGGGCACCCTGGGCTGGGCTGCAGGCTGAGGTCAGTGTTTCCTGTTGACCTCATCTGGACAGAGCTCTGGGCAGAGCTGGCTGCTGTTCTGGTTATCTGCTGAGGAACTGCTTTGTGCTGGGCAACTGGGTTTTGGTGGTATTTTTGTTTTGGGGGAGTGTGTGTGTGTGTGTGTGTGTTTAAGGGAGTATTGAGTCCAGCTTTGTATTAAAATTAATACCTTAAAATACATGGTTTGTCATTTTCGTTTTGAGACAGGGTTTCTTTGTGAGGCCTGGCTGTCCTGGAACTAGCTCTGTAGACCAGGGTGGCTTCAAATTCTCAGAAATCTGCCTGGCTCTGCCTCCTGAGTGCTAGGATTAAAGGTGCACACCATCTTCACCACCTGGCTGAACACTCAGGAGGCAGAGATAGGAGGATCTCTGTGAGTTGGAGGACAGCCTGATCTACAGAGTGAGTTCCAGAATAGGCTCCAAAGCTACAGAGAAAAAGAAAGAAAGAAAAAAGAAAAGAAAATACAGCTTTACATGGAGAAAAATGTTGAGACTGCACGCTTTTCACACCCCGCCTGTGCCCCTTCCGTACCTCCTTATGTGCCAGGAAAGATCTTGGTTACTGCCTCCCATTCTGACTTTGAAAGGACAGGAAATCTAAATAGGTAGGAGACATGTGACCCTGAGGGGCTTGTGTTCAGAGGGTTGGGGATACTGACCAAGTCAGGGTTGAGTTAATAGAACTTTCCAGTCTGGCTCAGCCTGAGTCTCAGTTTGCCCATCCGAAGAGTGGGGCTAAAGAAACAGGACTCCGTTTGGCCATGCTTCTCTCTTGGGTGGTTACAAGCAAAATCAACAGAGAATTAAGAGGGGTCCAGGAGGGGAGAGGGCAATTGCTGGCACTGAATAGGAACAGTTCCAGTGGTGTGAGCTCTGTGGAGAGTGGGTGCCTGAGCGTCCCTGTCAGCGGCCACCACTACCTTGACTTCATCCCTTCATGTGCACAATCTCCCTGCAGGCTTCACCATGGCGCCATTCCTGCGAATCTCCTTCAATTCCTATGAGCTGGGCTCCCTGCAGACAGAGGATGAGGCAAGCCAGCCTTTCTGTGCTGTGAAGATGAAGGAAGCACTGAGCACCGGTAGGGTTGGAAGATAGTCCCTGAAGGCATGGGAACTTCTCTAGATTCTTCTTGTCTTCCCCAGCTACCCAGCTGAGAATGCAGGAAGACATAGGTCACCTAATTCTCTCTAGGGCTGGACACTGATTGAATTGAGCCTCCCACATCTTGGGTTTCACCCCATGATTTCCACATCTGCCTGGGCCAGACCCTGAGGTGGACACCCAAGCTATTGTAATCCTGACTTGGCCTTGCCCTCTCCCCCAGTAGGGGGAGCTGGACAGGTCACAGGAGATGAGTCTTGTGCTGAGGGAGCCTAGGGTCAGGGTGGCATACTGGAGAACATACCCTTTGCTCTAGACTCACCTGAAGCTCCCTGCTGGCTACACCCGTTAGGCTCTAGCCGAACTGACCCTCCTTCCAGGCAGTCTCTGAGTGTCAGGGTCAGGCCATTTGATGGCAGGAAGGTTTACAACCACTGTCTTTGTCCTCAGTCCCATCACAACTGTGACTTAGTGGTTACCTGAGGACTACAGTGGTTTGTGTCTCTGTCTGGGACTTGAGACAGGACCAGGCCATGTTCCTTGCCACATGCCTTGGTTGTCATGTGGCCGCTCTTACATGTTCACTGGGTCAACACAGACAGAAAGGGAAGTTAAAATGGAGCTGGAACGAAATGGTCACAGGAAAGGGAATGGCATGAACAAAGTACCAGAGTACCCTAAAGGCTCAGGAGGCTGCTAGGGGCCTAGTGGGATGCTGGAGAGCCATAGCCAAGCCTCAGGACTCAAGAGAGAGTAGGTTGCATGGCAGTGAGGGAAAAGGAAGGAAGGAAGGAAGGAAGGAAGGAAGGAAGGAAGGAAGGAAGGAAGGACAGACTTGGGAGTCCTAGCCTGACTTTGTCTACCTGTCCCCATTGCAGAGCGCGGGAAGACGCTGGTTCAGAAGAAACCCACCATGTATCCTGAGTGGAAGTCAACATTTGATGCCCACATTTACGAAGGCCGTGTCATCCAGATTGTGCTGATGCGGGCTGCTGAAGACCCACTGTCTGAGGTGACCGTGGGTGTGTCGGTACTGGCTGAACGCTGCAAGAAGAACAATGGCAAGGCGGAGTTCTGGGTGAGAAGCTTTTGAGCTGTGGGCTTGCATGTGCATGTGTGCTTGTGTGGTGGGATTTGGTGAGTGAGCACGGCTTCAGGACCAAGTATTAGTATGACTCTGTAGCCAGTGGCCTGGGTTTGAATCCTGGCCCTGATTTACCAGGTCCTCAGCCTCTCAGAGCCTCTGTACTTCCATTCAAAGGAATAAAAGCATCCCACTCCAGTGTCCCTTGTCAGAATGAGCACAGTATCCAGTGCTTTGTTGTGGTGTCCCGGGTTTATAGTCCTGTGTACTTGGGAAGCTGAGGCAGGATGGTTACAAATTCAAGATCTACTGGGTAACTTAATGAGATCCTGTCTCAAAATTTACAAGTGTAAAATTAGCGTTGGGGATGTAACTCAGTGGTAGAGTGTTTACCTGGCATGCACAAGACCACAGATTCAGTCTCCAGCACCGAAAAGTACGGAGCCAGGGCAGAATCTGACACCTTGTAGGTGTTGAAGGAGATTGTCTTGATTGTTTGGAGAGGCGGCTGTGCACTGTAAAGTGCTGTGCTCCCACTTCAACACTCCCTTCTCACAGGCGCCTCTTCTTATTGGGGCTTTAAAGACATTACAGGTCTAGCCAGGCATGAGGGCATGGGACCACCTTCATGATATTTAGCAGCAAAGAGTTAGAGAATAAAACTGGCAGTCTGCCCACTCACCTGCTGTCGCATGCCTGTGGTCATGTGCATCTGTGATGGTATTCTTGGTGGCAATAGAATGCCAGTGCCAATACAATCCTGTAGGCTTCTGCAGCCAAAATGTCTCCCTAAAAAGGCTCAGTACCATTGGAAGCACTGGGCAGCCTTCAGTGAGGAATGAAGATGCCCAGATAGAGGAGAAATTGGCACAGGGCTGCTTAGACTCTTAGCCAGTGTGGCAGGGTCAGAGAAGCCCCCAGCCAGGTGTTCTCCCTCAGGAAATGCCATTGGAATAGAGGCTTGGGCCCTTCCCTCCCAGAGTGTACCATGTGTGTATCAGTCATGGTGGTGTGGTGTCTGCATGTGCATGGGGGTTGGGGTGGGGAGTTTCCCTCCACACTGCTCCTAGGCCACATGGCCTAGCAGGGTGTGGGCTGAATCCTTTCACTTCCCCAAATGTAATAATACCCTGGGTGCAGAGTGGGCGGGGCTTGGGCGGGGCCCTGCCTATCCTGGGCAGGCAGGTGTCTGGCCAGACTATAGGGCCTCCCCTTGGCCTTGGGGGAGACCCATGGGGCGGGTTCTGAGTCTCACCTGGGCCAGGCCCGCCCTCATTAATTTAACATCCCCCTCCCACCCCTATAGCTGGACCTGCAGCCTCAGGCCAAGGTGCTGATGTCTGTGCAGTATTTCTTGGAGGATGGGGGTAAGATTCCCACCTGGGCAAGGGCAAGCTCATTCGCCAGGTCTGGGACAGAGCTTGTACTGGTGTCTAAGGAAACAACTCCCATGGGGACATCTGGGGACCATCTTGGGAGGTTTGCAGGAGGAGCACCCCTTCATAGACCCTGAGGCTGACTTCACCCTATGGCTCATAGATTGCAAACAGTCTATGCGTAGCGAGGAGGAGGCTAAGTTCCCAACCATGAACCGCCGTGGAGCCATTAAACAGGCCAAAATCCACTACATCAAGAACCACGAGTTCATCGCCACCTTCTTTGGGCAGCCCACCTTCTGCTCTGTGTGCAAAGAATTTGTCTGGTGAGGACTGGTGGTGGCACCTGATGGGGTGGCACAGGAAGGAAGGGACTGAACTGGAGCATTCTCACTCACTCTGCTGGGACTTTGCCTTCCAGGGGCCTCAACAAGCAAGGCTACAAATGCCGGCGTAAGTCTTTCCTCTATCCAGTGTGTGCATGCGTGTGCTTCTGCATGCCATTGTTTGTGTCCCTGGATCTGGATGGCATGTCTGTCTGGATAAGAGCCCAGTGTACTTGAGTGTGTGTGCTCATCAGTTAGTGCCAGGCTGGCTTGTTGCAGCTTGCCAGAGCCAGTTCTATGCATTCTTTCCTAACTCTGTGCAGGTTCTCAGATTGTTGCTAAAAATAGGTTGTTGTAAAGATTTACACAAAAACCAACCACAAATCAGCTGTGTGTGCGTGCGTATGTCTCTGCCCCCAGGGGTGGATGTGAGCTCTTCATTCACACTCCCCTGACTGGTGTGCTTGTTGATGCAGAGGTGTGAGCACACCTTTCACCATGGCACGCAGTGTGGAGCAGATTCTGTAGACTACAGGTGTGAGCAAGCATACACTGCTTTACCATTTGCTCACTGTAAGGCCTTGGTCAAGTTCCCTAACACTGGCCAAGTGTCTCTGCTTCCTTGTCTGTAAACTAGGGATAATAGAATCAAGTGTGAAGGCCCACTGGGATAGAATATGTAAGCTATGTTTTAAGGCCTTAGCACGTGATGAGCATTCCATATAAAAAGCCTACTGTAAGGATTATGCAAGCTTTGTATGTATGTACAGGTGTCTTTGTACTGGGGCATGTCTTGTGTGCATGTGAAAGAGAGCTTACTTAGCAGCTATTTGCTGACCTGGAATAAAGAAATGGAAAGGAGGTGCTCTCTGGTCCTCATACATACTCCCTTCTGCCCACTCCACCCCACCCCGCCCTGCCCCACCCCGGCCCAGGAGTCATTGAGCCTTCTCTGTTTTCCATAAGCCTTTAGATTGGCCCATTTCTTGCCCCGTGCTTTCCAGGCCCCTTCTGGAGAAGCTGGCAGGGGGAGGGGAAAATAAGGCCCTGAGCTGAGGCCTGTGTAGGGTGAGGGCGTGGGTGGCCAGTGAGAAGGCTGGCTTTGTGCAGAGGGCTGTACTTGGCCAGCAATGCCAGCTCAGACTCTGCCTGTCTTGGTGCCTCCCCCTCCCTGTCCTGGGCCTTCAAGAATGCAACGCTGCCATCCACAAGAAATGCATTGACAAGATCATCGGCCGCTGCACAGGCACTGCCGCCAACAGCCGGGACACCATCGTGAGCTGGGCCCATGGGTCTGGGGATTGGGACCTCTTTTCTCACTTCCTCTCACCTTTCCTTGATTCTTGCCTGGGCTCCTTGGACTTTTGGGTTTCCCTGACAATGTATAGGGCTGGGGAGAACTGATGTTTGACCCCTGACCTGTAATACCCTCCCCTCCAGTTCCAGAAAGAACGCTTCAACATTGACATGCCACACCGGTTCAAGGTCTACAACTACATGAGCCCTACCTTCTGTGACCACTGTGGCAGTTTGCTTTGGGGACTGGTGAAGCAGGGGTTAAAGTGTGAAGGTGTGTGCTACCCAGAGCCTAGCTGCTCCCCAACCTCCTAAGTCCCAGTTACACAGTGATGCCTCCACCCCGTCCCCTCATACTGTCTGCATTTCATTGGGGGACCCCTCCTCACTGGCCTTCCTGACTGTTATGAGACCACAAGTCTCCATGCTCTGAGCTTTATCCTCGAGTGTGCTACTGGGGATCACTGATAAGCTCATGACTGGAAGTGCTTAGCCAAGGCTTGCCATGCACTAGAGGCTCTGCTCCCAGGCCTCCCTGTCCAGACTTCCCTTCAGGACAGTCTCAAGGCCTTGAGGAAAGCTGCCTATCTCGCTTGGCCTGGATGTTGAAGGGGTTATAACTAGCTACCATTCTCTCTGCCCCCCCCTGCCTGTCCCCCTCCCTCTTCCTCTCTGTCTCCTTCCCCCTTTCTTCCTGCCCCTCCCTTTCTCCTGTCTCTTTCTCTTCCTCCCACCCTTTCTCTTTTTCCCCCTCTTCTTTCTCCCTTCCTTCCTCCCTTTCCCTCTCTTCCCCCATCTCCTCTCTTTCTCTCTTCCTTTCTTTGACCTCAGTCTCACACTGTAGCCCAGGCTGGCCCCAAGTGCAGAGCAGTCCTATTGTCTCAGCTTCCCAATTGCTGGGATTATGGGTGTGAGTTATTGCATCTGGATATTTTCTTCTTCTTTGTTTAAACCATGAAATATTCAAAATGCTCATGATGGCTTCAGATGCCCTTGCCCCTGAAAGCTCAACAGTCTGAAAGGTCCTCCTATCCCCTCCCTCTCCTTCCCTGTCCCCTTCCCTTCCTGCCCATTTCTGAAACCAAACTAACCGTGGTGCTCCTGCCTCTGCCTCTTGCAGACTGTGGCATGAATGTACACCACAAATGCCGAGAGAAGGTGGCCAACCTGTGTGGCATCAATCAGAAGCTCTTGGCTGAGGCCTTGAACCAAGTGAGCCAGGTAGGCAGGGCAGTGGGATCTGGACATAGGGCAGTGCAAGCAGAGGGTATCTAGGCTCACAGAATGCCTGGAGAGCCCTAAGGTGGGTGAGGCTTCTGCAAGACCATTGATGAATGTAGGTGGCAGAGAGGTGGCCTTGTTACCTTGGGAAATTCATCATTCAGGCAGTTCTTTTCCTGAGGTGAGAAGCGACTGCAGAGTTGAGTGTTGGAACATTTTGAACAAGGACAGGGTCTGTTATATGTGTCATGTATGGTGTATTGTGTGGTATGTGTGGTGTATATGATATGTGTAGTGTGGTTGTGTGTATGTAATATTTATTTGGTATGTAGTGTGTGTGTCCAGAGTATGTTATCTATGGGTGGGTGGTATATAGAGTATGTGGTGTTGTGCATATGTATGCTGTATGTGCATAGCGTATATGGTTTGTTTACATGGTGTGTATTGTGTGTATTCAGTATATTATATGTAGGAATGGGTGGTATATGGCATGTGGAGTGTATGTTGTGTATACATGTCTTCTGTGCTGTACATGCATAATATATATGATATGTGTAGGTGTATGTGGTGTGTGTTGGGTGTATAAGAAAGGGGTTCTTATGGTGTGTGTATATTTAGATGTGACTGGAACCTAAGGGACAATACGAAACTTTAGAGTAAAACTCTAGAGCCAGAATTGAAGATCGTGGCTAGCAAGATGTTTTGATGGGTAAAGGCACTTTCCACACAGCCTGAGTTTCCTTCCATAGAACCTGCAGATCAACAAGAAACATTCTGTAGTTTGTCCTGTGACATATGCACGTATACACATGTCTACATACACATATATACAAATAAGTGTAAAAAGGTTTTTTGACAAAAATTAAAACAATTTTTTAAATGCTTAGGAAGGTATGGTTCAGTTCACTAAATTTCCGTGCCTATAATCTGTGCCTTTCAGATTACAGGGCCAGGGGAAGGGAGGAATGTGGCTTGGGAGTCCTGGGCTCTGTCCCTCTGACACCAGTGGAATTGAGGGGGGATATTGTGGTGGGGAGTTCTCTTCCTGACCCAAGAGTTCTTAAAGTGTCCTTACCATTTGGCTTCCTTCTTATGCCCTTTCCCTAGAGATCTTCACGGAAGCTGGACTCGGGATCACCAGAGAGTGTTGGAATATACCAGGGATTCGAGAAGAAGATAGGAATTTCTGGGGATGACACTCCAGGTGAAGCTGGGTCACATATCCCCTTTAAAGCTCCCATTCCCCAACAGGGCAAAGAAAGGGGCCAGTCTTCCTTGCTGAGTGAGTCCTGGGATGAGGTACTGAGCCCCTTTCTCTCCGACCCTTCCTTCCCCAGCCTACCCTTAGGACTCCAGTAAGTCTTCTGTCTAGTAAGTTCTGGGAAGAGATCCTACCTGTGAGGAGTGAGCCCCCTCTCTCCTCCCTGAGACGCTTGCCTAGCTCCACTCCTGCCTCCTGGGAAGGGAGTCATGTAGCCCAAGACCTTAGTCTCTTTGTCTCTCAAACAGACAACAACGGGACCTATGGCAAGATCTGGGAGGGTAGCGCCCGGTGCAGCATCGATCGCTTCACCTTCCATAAGGTGCTGGGCAAGGGCAGCTTTGGCAAGGTGAGAGCAGCCTGAGGGCCAGTGCTCAGGTGTTTACTGTCACACACCAGGGGCTGGGTGCTAGTAGTCTCGGGGGCCTTTGCTCAGCATCCTGCCCATTGCTAGGTACTACTTGCGGAGCTAAAGGGCAAAGAGCAGTTCTTCGCGATCAAGTGCCTGAAGAAGGACGTGGTGTTGATCGATGATGACGTGGAGTGCACCATGGTGGAGAAGCGGGTGCTGGCGCTGGCCTGGGAGAGCCCCTTCCTCACCCACCTCATCTGTACCTTCCAGACCAAGGTTTTTGGCCTTCCCTTGCCGTTGCCTGTTGCCCAATCCCATCATCCCCCACAGTGGGGCAGTGTCTGTTACAGTTGTACCTCCTAAGTTGTCAGCCTCAGCCCAGATCCTGTGCCCTCCACATCCTGTTGGGGCTCTGTGATAGTTTGCAAGGGCATCTCCTGCCTGTCACTGCACTCTGCTTACCCCTTCTTCCCCCCCACCCCCAGGACCACCTGTTCTTTGTGATGGAGTTCCTCAATGGGGGTGACCTGATGTACCACATCCAGGACAAAGGCCGTTTCGAACTCTACCGGGCTACGTATGTGAGGGCCCTGTGTGAGGAGAGGGACTTTGGCTGAGCAAAATGCCAGACTGCCCTATCTTCTTTCCCTCCCCTGGAAACTCTTGAGTCAGGACAGACTGGCGGGGAGACTTGGGACACTGTGAGGCAAGCTCTGGCTGTGGGGCCAGCTGTCCTGTCTTTGGGCCTAGCCAGAGCAGCAGGACAAACAGTGCCTGCACTACAGGACCCTGTGTGTGGCCCCTAGACTATAGCACGAACACCTTCAGGTGTTTGTATACCCTAAACTAGCGGCATGTGTTTAAACAACGCCCTCCTACAACAGAGCGTCATAGGCTTATGTAGTTTGCCCTTTAGATTTGCTGCCTGGGCTTCCCACCCCCACTTACCTGATAACAAATGTGCTTGGTTGGGTCCATCGTATTGGTAGAGTTGTTTACAGCATTTCCTGTCCTAGGGTGGGGTGATGGGACTGGTGGGGAAAGTCCTGGAACATCATCTCTTGCTCAGGTTTTATGCAGCTGAGATCATTTGCGGGCTACAGTTTCTACACAGCAAAGGCGTCATTTACAGGTATTGGTAGCACTGGGACCCTGGGGACTTCTGGGAATGGTAGTGCCTGGCTGAATCACAGTTCTAGCACTACTTAGAGTGAATGTTTGGCTGAGTATTTACCTAAACCCCTAACTTGGTGTAAGAATTTTTCTGCCCCTTCAGCTGAGGCTGGTACAGGAGCTGAGAACTCACTGCCCCTACTCAGTGCTGTTGGAAAGGGGTCAGCACTGGCAGATGCAGAGTCTCCCTATTTATGCTCATCATTCTACTCTGCAATCTTAGCATTTCACCAATATGAATTGCTTCCTTAAGTCTTCATCCAACACATTAAGCTCCACCCTATGCGTAATGCCATACACTCACCAGAAGGGCTGAGGCTGCACTGTATCCTGATGTGGAATGATACTGAGCTATTTAGCAAGCAGGAACTAACCTATGGAGCCAAGCTGTGATTTTACCCCTCAGTAATCCCAGCACTCGGGAGGCGGAGGCAGGCATATCTCTGTGAGTTTGAGGTCAGCCTGGGCTACATAGGACAGCCAGAGCTACAAGTGAGACCTTGTCTTAAACAAGGAAAGAATTAAAAAGGCAACCTGGGCTGTGTATTGAGACCCTATCTCATAAAAGAAAAGAAAAATCAACCAAACCAAGTCATGTGCCAGTGTGTGTGAAATACTGGTTTTCTGGGGTGGGAGTGAGGAGCTGGAGAGAGAACCATTTAGAGCGCCTGCTGCGCTTGCAGGGTTGGGTTCTCAGCACCCACGTCCAGTGCCTCACAACTACTTGCAGCTCTAGTTCCAGGAATCTAACGCTATCTTCTGGCCTCCATGGCCATCTACACTTGTGTGCACTTGCCCACCCACAGACACACATACATAATATATAAATAAAAATAGTAATAATAAATAAAAGTGGGAGGGGGATACGTATTCCAATTTGCTTGTCCATGCCTAGAGTCACTGGAGGCTGTCTGGTGGCTAATGTAGACGTAAACCTTATACTGTTTGTACATTCTGTCACTTGTCCTCATTCCAATGACTAATGAGGGAAGTCAACATGGTCCCTGATCTTGTTGAGTCAGATAAACCTGAGATTTGGGGGGGGGGTATCTGTTAGGTGACAAGAGGCAAGTGGTATCAGTGCCTCTGAGCTTCACTCAGGCAGGGGGGTGTCGTGTGCCCCACTTTAGCACAGCGGGTGACTGCCAGAAGGCAGCTGTGCTGAGTAGCCTGAGCGCCACATTTTCCTCTGTGTTCTCCTGTGCTCTGAGGAAAATCCAGCATGGGGCAGCAAGGCAGGGAGGGTCAGATAGATATTCTGCCCTTTCCTCTCCTCAGGGACCTCAAGCTGGACAATGTGATGCTGGACCGGGATGGCCACATCAAAATAGCTGATTTTGGCATGTGCAAAGAGAATATATTTGGGGAGAACCGAGCCAGCACCTTCTGTGGCACCCCTGATTACATCGCCCCTGAGGTGAGCAGATATCTTTCACTTACCTTTGCTTTTGGCCATGGAGGCTTCCTGAAGAAGACTGGTACCCTATTCTGACCACTGTTGCCCCCAGATTCTGCAGGGCCTGAAGTACACATTCTCCGTGGACTGGTGGTCCTTTGGGGTCCTCCTCTATGAGATGCTCATTGGCCAGTCTCCCTTCCATGGTGATGATGAGGATGAACTCTTTGAGTCTATCCGGGTGGACACGCCACACTATCCCCGCTGGATCACCAAGGAGTCCAAGGACATCATGGAAAAGGTAGGCCTGGCTGATAACATGGCTTTGGGGTTTCAGGAAAGCCTGTTTCTGGAATAGGGCTCTATGCTTGATATATCCCCAAGTCTTGGTCTGCCCCTGTTCCCAGGCACTCCTTTCTGAGTCCCCTGCCTGGAATCAACAGGGTGTGGTGACCAAGGGGTCAGGAGACAGACAGACCTGAGGCCAAGTCCTGGCTCTGTCTGTGACTAGATCACGACCTTGGGTGGGTCACTTAGCTTCTCTCTCCTTATCTTCAAACTGCCTCAGAGTTGATAGAAGCACATAGGAACCCATGACACTCAGCACCTCGGCAGACTGAGTGTCAGTAAAACACTGACCTTTACCCTTAGTTCCAGTTCCTGGACTGAGCCTGTCCAGCCTTGGGGCCCTTGGGCCATTAGCAGTGTGTAAAAACTTGTTTCCCGTGGCCCTGAGTCCTGACCGTGGCCCCTGTGGATTGCAGCTGTTCGAGAGGGAGCCAGTCAAGAGACTGGGAATGACAGGAAACATCAGGATTCACCCCTTTTTCAAGACTATCAATTGGGCCCTGCTAGAGAAGCGAAAAGTGGAGCCGCCCTTCAAGCCCAAAGTGGTATGTTCCTCTCTTGCCCTGCCCACTTCCTGTGCCATTCCCATGCTCACCCCCTTTCCCTTTCCAGCAAGCCTGCTTCCTGTCCTCGCCTGGCATACTATACCAAGCCTCTGCTCTTGCATTTTCATCATCTCAGGCCATCTCCAACAGTCATTCAACAGACGTTTGGAACTGTGGAGTCAGGGTCTTGAGCTGGGGAATATAGCTCAGTGGTGGAGCACTTAACCTTGTGTGTACCAAGCTGTAGGTTTGACCTCAGCACCACCAAATAAGATGCAGAAGCTGAAACAGGCAGGCCTGATAGAGCCACTATAGCGGAGCTGGTGGGGAGGCACCTGGTGCTGAGGTAAGAGGCCATTGTCAGCCTAGGTCAGCCGGGGCTCTGCAGTGAGATCCTGTCCAGGAGAGACAGGTCCTCACTGTGTTGTTCAATCTGACTCAATATTCCTAGGCTTAAGCTGTCCTCCTACAGGTGCACACCACCATGCCTGCCATTAGCCATCTTGTAATGGAATTCTTCAATACTCTGTGTTCTGGAAACTGTTTTGGCCATCAGAGTTAGGGTTTCACCTCCACTTTCCATCCATCTTCTCATCAGTCACATCCATTTCCCAATCCATACTGGGCATGTTGAGTCCTTGTTGAGTGCAAAGCACTGTGCTGGCCTTTGGTGAAATCCTAGAGGTAGAGGAGCCCAGACAAAACATGTCTGTGATAGATGACAGCAGTATGGGAGATGTCACAGGGTTGCTTTGGGGAGGGTATCTCGGTAGGAGCCTGGGATACGGGGAGCAGAGTGGTCTGAAAGCTGCTTGGAAGAACTGCTGTGTGCGAGTAGGGCTTGGGGTGTCAGACCAGACAGAGGGCAGCTAGAGGGCATTCTTGGTAGTGGGTGACGGTGGCATCAAGGCCCCAGATCCTCAGGCCACTGGGACTGGTTGAGATAAGCGGATTGCATCACCAGGAAACTGGAACTAGCTGGTGTGATGATTACACGTGTAATCCTAACATTCAGGTGGACACAGGAGATTCTCAACTTCAAGTCTAGGACACACAGCATGATCCTATTTTAAAAGAGAAGTTAGGGCACAGTGTCCCTTTTGTGATCACAGCTCTTCTCTGGCTGCCTTTCTGCCCTCTGCTGGGACACACAGTTCCCACTGGGCAGTCTCTGTGACATGCCCCACATTTGTGCTTTGAGTCAGCAGGGTACTTTTCCTTGTGGATTTCATATTCAGAGGCTCCCTGAGCAGGTTGACGAGCTGCCCAGCAAAAGAGCAGCACATGGCTCTTGCTACTGAGAGAAGTTTCTTTCTGCAGTCAGGTGTGATATCCCACTGAGAGCCCACCAGGCATGGTGAGCAGGGCAGTGGACTCTCAGCCCCAAGAATGGGCCTGCCAGGAAGTGAGCCCAAGGGCTCTAGAGTGCTCACCTAGCATATCAGTGTCCTCTCCAAATAAAGGTAAAAACAAGGCTAGACATAACTGTAATCCCAGCCTTTGGGAAGAGTGCTCACCTAGCATATCAGTGTCCTCTCCAAATAAAGGTAAAAACAAGGCTAGACATAACTGTAATCCCAGCCTTTGGGAAGTGGAAACAGGAAAATCATGGGTTCAAGGTCAGCCTCAGATGTGTGAGACTTTGTCTTGAAAGAACAAAAACAAAATAAAAACCCAATTCCAATCTTTCATGTATCAAACCTCAGGCCACAGAGCAAGGCCTAATGTCTCTGAGCCATTTTTTCTGCAAGTGGACTGGGACTGTGGTGTGGGATAAGATCAAAGAAGGAAGTAAGCCCAGGGTTCTTCTGACCCACCAGTTTTCAAAAGCAACTAGAAATCTGAATTTCTGTGAGAAAAGCATTGCTTGGGATTCTATCGGAACGCAGCACTGAGGGCCAGGCATGTAGCTCGATTGTGAAGCACTTGTTGCGTGCACGCAAGGTCCTGGATGTGAGTCCCTGCCCTTTACCAAACAAAACCAGTGCCAGCTGAGTGCTCGCGCCTTCTAGTACAGTTTGGCCCAAGACTTCTTCCTGTCTTATCCAGTCCTTAGGGGCAGCGAATTAGGGACTTTTCTCATAAACAGCCAGAGAGTTAATGTTTGAGCTTTGCAGGCCAGGCCATCTCAATGCAGCCATACTCCATGTGTCAATAATGAGTGTGGTTGATCAGTCATAAAGCTTGATTTGTGGGCACAGAAATTGGCATTTGAATTCATTTTCATATGGCATTGGATATCCTTTTAATTTTTCCTCCCAGCCACTTAAAATCACAGAGGCTGAGAGTGGTGGTACTTGGTGGTGATTGCCAGTGCTTGGGAGGCTGAGGCAGGAGGATCATGAATTTGTAGGGAGCCTGAGTTACATAATGAGACTTTGTTTCAAAAACACCAAAACCAAAACTAGCTAAACAAAAATAGCAAAAGCTATTCTTAGCTCATAGGCCCCATTAAAAACAGAGCAGGAGACATGTGGCCCATGGACTATAGTTCTCTGAGCCCTGTTCTGGAGGATGTCCCCTGCTCTTACTCCAGTGCTCCCCACCTGCCTTCCTCATCTCTTAGGGGAATAGCATCCCCTAATGTGGGACAGCCCTTAGGTGACCAGTGACATCCTCTTTCCCGATTGAGTAGCCTGCCCTGGGTTAGCCCCGACTAGGGCCCCAGAGGCCTGGGTGCCTGTCGTGCCTTTGAGGGCAGACCTTGGAGATACCCTGGTGGTCACACTCACCTACTGCTGCCTTGTGCTCACAGAAATCCCCTGCAGACTACAGCAACTTTGACCAAGAGTTCCTGAGTGAGAAACCCCGCCTTTCCTACAGTGACAAGAACCTCATCGACTCTATGGACCAGGCAGCCTTCCATGGCTTCTCCTTTGTAAATCCCAAATTTGAGCAACTCCTGGACAAGTGAGCTCCCAGACCTTCTTTCTGTGCCAACAGAGCAGTTCTCATCCGCATGCCCATGGACAGCAGCAGGTGACTGGGTGATTGCCGCTGCTACCCCTTACCCTCAGAGGGCTTGGCTCTTGTTGGCTGGGCTCACAGTACCTTCCTCTGTGAACTGTTTGTGAATTTGCTTTCCCTTTGCCGTCAGAGGGAAACTGTAAATCCTGTGTTTCATTACTTGAATGTAGTTATTGAAATATATATTATATATATGCACATATATATAATAGGCTGTATATATTGCTCAGTATAGAAGCATGTAGGGGACTGGTAATGTGTTGACCTTTTTTTTTTAATAACATATGTATATGTATGTATATGCATATATATGTATTGTGTGTGTGTATATATATATAATCAAAAAGGAAAAAAAAAGGACAAACTTCTGAACCACAAGGTTCTTTTATGTATGTCTAAATAAACACTGAATGGTACCAACCTGACTGTGGGGACATTCATGTCCCAGGAAGCTGGTGGCAGGTGCTCTTGCCACTGTTGACGGCTGTCACAGACCCCTGAGTCTTCATGCAAATGTGTTTGTATTTAGGAGTTTCCTTTTACTCCAGGGCCCGGGACTGCAGAAACCCCAGATGTATCTGTCGGGTGATGGTAGGAGGTGAGACTGACTGCAGTCTTCTCACTACGCAGAGAGAGTCAGTCACCCCAGAAGTTCAGAGAAGCCAAAAGCCAGGCCCTGAAAGCTGGATCAGAGGCTCAGAGCTGGGAGTGTGTCTCACGGCTGCAGTGTCTGCTTCCCTTGCATAAAACTCTGCGTTCCATCTCCTGCTTGGTCACCATGTGTGTGTGCGCGCGCGCACACACACACACACACACACACACTGACAGTAAATGTAAAAAAGGACATGAGGGATGTAGTTCAGTTGGTAGAGTACTTGTCTAACATTCGTGTGAAGCCCTATCCCCAGCAATGTATAAACCTGACATTTGGGAGATGGAAGCAGAAAGATCAGGACTCAAGATTCATTTTCAGCCACACAGTGAGTTTCGAGGCCACCCTGGGCTATTGTTTTGGAGCATGAACTAGAACTCGCTCTGTAGACCAGGCTGGCCTCTGCCTCCCAAGTGCTAGAATTAAAGATATGCACTACGATGCCCAGATGTACCTGTACATCTTATTCTTGCTTATCTTCATTCTTCAGAGAGGACCCAGCATTTAAGTTCTAGAACTATATACACAAGAGTCCTTGCCTACCTGGAGGAGAGGGATGGGACCTAGATGGAGCGCCCAAGCTGGTCCAGTTAGCTGACCACACTGACTGCACAGTCAAGGAGACTGGCTCCAGGACACAGCAACTGGTGGCTGCCTGTGAGTCTGCGTGGCCTTGGTGCAGGGGTCTCTGACTAGGCTCTATTCACTGCCTCCATGCCTCCCATTCTACAAGCTTCCAATCTGTCCCTGCCTCCCTCCTGCCTGCTGCCTGGGGCACAGGTCTCAGACAGGGCTCTCCCTTGGGCCCCTCTGGTCCAGCCCCTGGAGCCCAACTGGCTCTTTGTCCTGGAGATGGCTTTGGCAGTCCTAGCGCCTGATTGGCTGGTCCAGTAGCCTTACTGCTGACTGCCAGCAGTTCATTCTTCTGGGCTGAGGTATAAATTTCCACAGCCTGGGAAGGCAGGATGGGCTGGAGCTGACCCAGGGAGAGGGCTCTAGGGGTGGAAGTGTGGTTTTGTCCTCTCCGTCCTCAGGAAGCACTGTACCTGTGCCCGGCCAGCCTGGACGCTGTGGGCAGTGACACTCATACCCCTTAGGTTCACAGACACAATGTGACGTGGGGTGTACTGGAGAACCCTGGGATAACAGAAGCCACCACTTGGTGCCTCTGGTCCCCAATCTCCTCCTATAACACGCAAAGGTCCCCAGAACCTCCAAGAGGCCACCAGAGTGGTGGTGTTTATGTTAAGGGCCACCTGCCATCCTGCGGCTCTAAGTCAGAGCCTCGTGCACAGACAGCATTGTATGCAAAGATGCAGTTCCTCCTCTGCAGAAGGGAGGGCTAAGTGGTTTAGCAGCTTCAGGCAGTGAGGAGCTGCCGGAATCCTGAGGTGTGCGTTTCACTGTGCTACCCATACACTAGATCACTTTCTCACCAATCTCAGTCTCCTCACCTGTAGAATGGAACCACTAATCTGTGCTGCCTCATGGAGCAGCTGGTTTGGGAAGGCTTCATACAGGGCACAGTCCAGATCTGTGGGGCCTCAGAAAGCGTGATCCCCTATGGGAAGGGGCTCTCAAGGACACCGTCACTGCCTGATTGCTTGGAAGGGCATATGTCTCTAGACCTGTTCCCAACTTGTGAGTAGGTGCCAGGCCTGGCCTGTGGCATAAGGAAATGTCTCTCATGCTCGACTCAGCCACTTTTTCTGGCATCTAGGGGCCTGGGAGAAAACAGGTAGCCCTTTCCCTTGCCAAATGGGTATGCAAGCAGCAGGTAGCTCAGTCTTCAGTGTAAAGGACAGAACAAGTACCCCATTGAAGGACAGATGGACACAGATGCTCTGAAGCCTGGGGACAGGAGCACAGGTGCCACAAATTGCCCTGGTTTCAATTCTGTATGTCCCAGTGACTCCAGCAAGTGACTTAATCTCCCAGAGCCCCGCTTCCATTTCCTCCACTGGAAAATGCTGTTGGCTGTGAGGACACAATCGTGTTTACATGTATCACATATACTCAGATTAGTAAATAGCAGCCAGTGTGCCCTGCCCTTCAGTGGGAAGAAACATTCTACTCCACACTAGACTCCAGGGGCTTCTGACTGGACTGCGGGTAGACAACTAATATGTTAGACAGAGGTACTCAAGAACCTCATGCCCAGACATGCCAGGGTGCTGTGCATTTACTTTAAAATATATTTTTATTTTTAGCCAGGTGTGGTAGTCCATGCCTTTAACTCTGTGAGTTCGAAGCCATCCTGGTCTACAAAGTGAGTTCCAGGGCAGCCAGAATGTTACATAGAAAAACCCTGTCTCAAAACAACAGCAAGTGTGTGTGTGTGTGTGTGTGTGTGTAGTGTAGGTATCCTCAGAGGCAGAGAAGTCAGATCCCATGAAGCTGGAATTACAGGGAGTTGTGAGCCATCTGTTGCAAGTGATGGAAACCAAGCTCTGGTCCTTGTAACCACTGAGCCACTCTCTAGCTCCAAATGTGCCTGCTTTTCAGGGCACTGGAATCTGGGGTACAGAACAGAGCTATTGAAAAGAAGCACAAGTGAGTGAATGAGTGTATGGATGGATGGGTGAATGGATGGAGGGACGAGCTAGACTCTGTCTGTTAGGCCACTTGGAATTCAAGTGTCTGTCAAGCAGTGGCTCTGGAATCCAGGATACATCAGCATGCGTACTGATAAAAGGTATGTCTCCCATGCCAAGTTCTAAAGCAGGGGTCTCACTCCTGGCTGAAGCCTGGGACCCAATGCCCAGGTTGACCAGGTCTGTGTACACTGTGATCTTGAAGGAGGCCCAGACATCACAGTTTGAAAGCTCTCTGATTCTTATGTGTGTCAGGATGGAGAGCCAATTAGGCAAGATGAGAATCTGCTTATTTCCCAGTGAAGCTAGGCAAAGCTGCTCAGAAAAGCCAAACCTTGGAAATTGAAGTCACCTGCCAGCATTGCTAAGCAAGCCCTTGTGTGGAGGAGGCTCAGATCTCTAGCCTCTGAAGTACTGCTCTGTGTCTGGGACCTAAGAAAATTTGGTGAGTGAGGTAGCCCCTTAGCAGAGCTATATTGCCTACTGCCTGGCTGGGCTATATCGCCCCCTAGTGGAGGCTGTCTAGTGAATGCTGCAGAGACTCAGATTTGTCCACTCAGTCTTTGTCCTGGGGACCATGCTGAATACTTGCTCATTCTAAACTGTTAGTCTCTAGCTGCTGGAGACCCGGAAATGCAGAGGCGATACCTCTTCTTGCATAAACAGTTGTGTGATTTGTCCAGAGAGTGCAATCCATTCTAAAGCAGTAGCCACATTTCCCAGCACATCCTTATGAATGTATAAACAACTGATACAGCTGGGAGGTCCACACCGTTAACAGATTCTAATAAGAGGAAATAAAAGTGCATTCAGAGTTTGCCAGGGTGGGAAGGGCTCAGAGGGCTCCAGGACTTCCCGTGGCTGCCTCGCTTTAGCAGGACCTCCCCTCTACAGCTCTCCCAAGCACCCAGAACCCCTTTGGGACCTCTGGACCCCTCCCCCTACTGTGCCTAGCAGATGACCTTGGATGACTGCTTATGAGGCTGTATACCTGGGCTTGGTCTTCTGAATCCTGACCACCAACCAAGGAGGGAGGACATCACACACAAGATCTGAAAACAAAGGAGATCAAGGACACAAAGGCTCCCAAAATGGGGGGGGGGGGGGGGCTGGCCAAGTCACCATGACCTGGATGGCACCAGGCTCCTGAGGTCTGAGGCTTTTTCTAAGCCCCATTATCTAATCGACTTCAACCTTCCACACTATAGTCTTGGTGATTTCAGTCTTTGAAACTTGTGTTCCTAAACCAGGCTTTTTAAGTGGGCCTTGGAAGAGCCACGGTTTCCTCTCTCCGCCTGTGTTAAATACATACTCAGCCCTGACATTTGCTGCTCAGCCCACATTAAGTGCTGCACAAAGGCCAAGGCCCTGTGGGAATGAACTTTTCTCTTCTGGGAGGCCTGTTGGAGCCAATCTTTCTCCTGATTTCACTTGGGATAGTGGACACACGTGCTGTGGGTGGCAGTGGTGTGTGTGCTGTGCGCCTGAGCGCTTATCTTCTTTGGTAAGAGCAGTGCCTGCTGTGTGTGAGGAGCTCCACAGGTATCCCTCAGAGCCATGCCAAGCACTGTTCTTCCCTGAAGTGTGGTCTGTAATTAATATTCACAACAGCCCCTGAGGAAATGGCTGTTAAGCCCCACACTTGAGCAGTGAGTGAGGAGAGGGTCTGAAGGGTGAAGGGTTTGCCCCGCAGCTCTCGGAAGCTCCTTGGAGTCTGCGACTTGGTTCCCTTGTCATGCTTTCTTTGGCAATGAGCGTAATTGCTCACAGGCTGCTATGATTGCTCCACTCTAGTCAGGAGTGGAAAGGGAAGATGCCCTTTCCTGGTCCACAGAGGCCCCAAGAAGAGAGAAAATGAGCAGAAACTGCAGAGGATGGCTAGAAGGGGCCACAGTTTGCCTTGGCCCTGGAAAGTGCTTGGGTAATTAGATCACTAGTGTCTTTAATCTTTGTGGATTCACAATTTGGTAACTGGAGCCAAAGGGAGAAGGGTGGTGTTGGACCAGGTTTCCGTGAGTAGGCAGT